CATGTTTAAAGTATTTATTTATATAGATTTTATTATAATTTATATAAAAAAAATATTTAAAAAGCATTAATTTAAATGCATTATAAAAAAATGATCATCTTTAAATTTATTTATTTTTAGACTAAATTCAATCTTATTCTCCTTAAAATAGTTATATATATATATATATATATAAATAAATTATATACATACAAATTTAAAGATAATTTTGAAGTCAAAGTCATATAATATACAAAATAAAAGAGAGAAAAAGTTACTTAAAAATAATATAAAAATGCTTTAAGTTTTTCTTACATTTTATTAAATGAAAAATAATATATATTAAAAAAAAAGAAAATACTTAAAAAATAAATAAAAAACAATAAATCTATTAAGATGTGTTCAAGTAAAAGAATATCATGTTAGAGAAATTAAATATAAAGACATAAAATTTATTAAGATTATATTATACAATTTAAAGAAACTACATCTAAAATTAATAAATTAATAAGTAAAATAATACATTTTAAATATTACTAATTCAAATAATTTATTTATTTATCCACACATATTTAGTTATTAAATTATTATGACGAAATGAAGAAGAAATGGATTGAAGATGAGACACGTGGTGAATTATCGAATGGAATTAGGTGAACCGATCGATACCCTTTCCTTTCTTTGGGTTATGACTTATGACTCATCATTCTATTAAATGGCTATTGCTTTATTTTCGGTTAACGCGTGTGCCATTATTTTTCTTGTTCCAAGTTTTTCCTTTGATTTGCCTCTCTTTCAGCATTCTGGTTTCGTAGAAAAGAAAAAAAACATAAGAGTTTGTGTTTGAATACGATACGTACAGAAACATGTCGACCCTCATTGTACCCCCTGTTCCTCCTTCCCCCAGAGATGATGCCATACAACTTCACACTGCTTTCAAGGGTACTCTATTTTCCTTCAAAATATTATTTTTCTTTTGCTGATTATTTAGGAACTTTTTCTCTGGATAGTGATTTCTTTAAAATTCCCTTTGATTTGACCATCTTAATTCACACTATTCATGGCCTGTGTCATGGGATCAGAAGGAACAATTTTATCATTAACCTAGTCAATCGGGCACTTTTGTGTTTCACCATGTTTGAATCATTGTTGTTGGACCCATTCTCTTCTTACAAACTGATTTTTGGAAGGTTTAGATTCCAATCTACTTTCTTAAAATAGTATCACTATCCTACCTGTTATTGGGTTTACTGATTACCAGACCGACCACCCACTACTACCAGATTATTATGGACCACATGCATATGTCTAGTCTTGCACTCTTCACATTCAAAAAGACCGTCTTCGGCGTGAGAGTAATGTTAGGAGTAAGGTTGAGTCAAGCTCCGTTCCACTTCAATCATAAAAAATAAAAATAAAAAAATTGAACCATCATACTGCTTTTATTATGCATACCTATTGCTAAATTCATACAATTGATGGTGGTGGTTTGTATGTCCAATCATTTTAGACATTATTGTTTTAAAGCTTTTGAAGTTTGACAATATTCAAAATTGTCATGTGTGATTGTCTTGGGAACTAAGTTTATTGATATCTTCTTAGACTTGCTCCTTCTTAATAAGAAGGCCTCAGTGAATCATTTTGTTGTGCTAACTCAATGCGTTTACAGGATTTGGATGTGATACTAGTGCTGTAATCAATATACTTGCTCATCGAGATGCTACACAGCGTGCCTATATCCAACACGAGTACAGAACAATGTATGCGGGGGACCTTCTCAAACGCTTAGCTTCGGAGCTTACTGGCAAGTTGGAGGTACTATGTTGTTTGTTATGAATTCCATTGTACTTCATCAATTATATACCCATTGATCAATATCATGTTAATCATTTTTTTTTATGACAGACCAAGCCATGTGTTTCTCTCTTTATTAACCAAATTATATGTACCTTAGAATTTAGACAAGTGAAGCAGATATGTTTCATTTCCTAACCATATATACCTGGTTTGACTTATTAGACTGCAGTTTTGCTTTGGATTCATGACCCTGCCACACGTGATGCAATAATCCTTAAGCAGACTCTAACCGCAGCCAAAAATATCGAAGCTGCTACTGAAGTAATATGTTCACGAAGTTCATCCCAGCTGCAATATTTAAGACAGATATATCATTCTAAATTTGGCAATTTTCTTGAGCACGACATTGAAAGGAACACCTCTGGGGACCATAAAAAGGTGAATCTTCTCTTTGTTGTTGCCTGTGTGTGGCTTTCATGAAAGACATCCTTGCTAGCAGAAATTAGTCACATTAAAGGTTTCTATCTGGTAGCTGAAAGTCTCGTACTCTTTTTTGTATCCTAACAACCCTACCTGTTAAAGAGGATGATTGCATGACATTAGTGAGGCACTTTTGGTTGTTTACTTGTTGAAGTACCCAAGGTGCTAAAAAAAGTTTAAACAAAAATGAGACTGCACATGTTCATCAAAGATATATAGGGATGTTTTTTTAAAGCTTTGGTGGATATTTCCAATAAAGCCACCATTTGTGGTCTTTATGTTCTGCTCAAATTTATAGCTGAATGACTTCTACCAAGCCATTTGAGGCAAGGTTCTCTAGTTACTCCATTCAAGAATATAGCTACAAGGCAAACAAAATGATTTTGGATCTACACAAAAGATTGAATGCCTGTTGGCAGTTGAAAGATTTCAGTCGCTAGTCAACTATGGGTAGGATGTGGACTAATTTTCTGGTCTATCCATTTATTTGAATGTGCAAGTGTGTTTAACTGCATATGTCTAGGGAAATCTTGTTCAGTTTGTCGTAGATCTCCAGTGGATTACAACTTCTGCCTCATTCCATTTATTCTCTATTTTAATCAGTAATCAGATCTTAATTCCTTCCTAGATATTCAAACAATAAGTGTTACTAATACATTTATGTAAAAACCTTGATTCAGATTTTGCTTGCATATGTAGCCACACCACGTCATGAAGGCCCCGAGGTAAATAGAGAGATGGCTGAGATGGATGCGAAGGTTCTCTACAAAGCAGGGGAGAAGAAACTGGGAACTGATGAGAAGACTTTTGTGCAAATATTCAGTGAACGGAGTGCAGCACATTTGGCTGCTGTAGATTATTATTACGATAGCATGTATGGGCACTCATTGAAAAAGGTATCTTTACCACTTTTATTTCCTTTTGCTTTGAACTTAGTCTCTCCCAATGTCTTTTCTGGTGCTTATACAAGCTAAATTTATATCAGGCAATAAAGAAGGAAACATCCGGATTGTTTGCTTTTGCACTTCTGACAATAGTTCAATGTGCTGTGAATCCTGCAAGGTATTTTGCAAAGGTATTCCCCCTTGGCTTCAATTTAATATAGTCGCTTCTAGTAACGTCATTTTACTTGGATAGAGATCACAACATTTGCATTCAATGACAATTCTTCTTGTAAGAAACTAGGATGATAGGTAAGAATCAAAACTCGAGATAAGTGGTCTAAAGATAAGGTGATCAAGACTTATTGTCAGAATATTTTTTCACTGAACGATCTGTTAGCAACATGGGCACCGAGTCCTTGAAACAAATGATTTATAGTTGAAAATGTTAGAAACTTGATAAACACGTTCATCTACAGCTGGGATCCCTTGCAGTGAATTTTATACTGCAGAGGATCCTAACCCCATTTAGCATGACTTATTAATGTAAATATGCATCAACAAATTCTTTTTTGTCTAGTATCTTTTGCTGATTTTGTAGTTGTTAGTTCTGTAAGCATTAAGTGAACCTTTTAAAATTTCTTACCACTAAGACATGAAGATATGTTTTCTTCACCTTTGGCACTGTTCAGGTCTTGCGCAAGTCAATGAAAGGTTTGGGGACTGATGATACAAAACTTATAAGGGTGATAGTAACAAGGGCTGAGTTGGATTTACTGTATATCAAAGCCGAATACTTGAAGAAATACAAGAAGACGCTTAACGATGCAGTTCACTCAGAAACATCCGGCAACTACAGGGCTTTTCTTCTCTCACTCTTAGGTCCTAACCAGTAGTAAATTATGTTGAAGGATGTTTTTGTGGAATGAATTCACCGTATGATGTTGAATAAATAAGCAATGCCTATCTTTTTCTGTATTGATATTGTAAATTAGGTAGTGCGTGGTGCTTTGTTAGTAATATGTACACACATTTGGTTTCAGCTTGTATTTGCTTTGTAATTACAATGCACAGATAAAGGATTAGTGTGTATAAAACTGTTAATTTTTGTTTCCATTATCAAACGTTCACGATTCCTTTGCTTGCTTTGATTTTCTTTTTTTGGCCAAGAGAGCATTGGTAGGTTCACGCGATAGGGATTGTAAGTTGGTTGGATTAAACCGTATTTGGATAGATATTTTATCTAACTTGATTAAAATTCAATGTGCAATTTTTTTAAGAATCTAATCCAATTTAATCAGATCCCGATACGAACATGTTGAATTAGTTGAATCAAAATAATTAAATTAATTTTTTTTATAAAAATTTAAATATTTTAAAATAAATGTAAATTATTTGATATATTGTTATAAATACAATGTTATCAATTCATACAGAAAACAATGATACAAACTAAATTTCAAAATAAATTTGTTATTTTTTACATTATTAACCCAAACAATTAATATTAATCTAATCATTAGGATTAGTCTAGTGATTGGATGAAGAGAGATTATGGTAGTTAGAAGTACGAGGACTTAAGTTCAATTTTCATTGCGACTATTTTGTAATTTTTCCTATCTTTATAAAAAAAAATTAACATTAACTAATACAAAATTTAAAAATAAATATTTTATTGTTACGCTGTTATAAACTAAAAATACAAAATCCATTATTCTAACTATATAATATTGAATTTTAATTGAGTTAAGTTGAAAATGATCCAAATGTTAAGAATAACGAATTCAAGTTTATTAGGTCAATTTGAATTATACAAAATCACAAGATTTGTATGGAATGAACTTATCTAAATAATGCTAAGATTCCAAAATGAATACATATCATACCAATAGCAAAAGTTAATAATCTAATCTATTTAGTTAATTTATAGTAACATTAAAATTTCACTATAATATATTAAGATTATTTGTTTATTAATATACTAAAATTTAAATTAGGTGTTTTGCATATGCATCCACAAGCACGTCTAAAGAGTTTTAGCCCGTGTTTGGATGCGCGTTGCATTAGGGCAACACGCGTATTCTCTTCCAAAAACGCGATTTCTCTCTTTGGATGCATGTTTGGATTTTTCTTCTTCACACGATTCCACGAATAAAAATCAATTTTGGCTGAAGCTGGTGAAGATTGCTTCTACGTCTTCAGGAAATTGATTTTGGTAAGTGGATATTTGATTTTCCTCATTTGTCCTCATGAAACTTCAATGTTCTCTTTGGTGGCATGCGACCATTCTGCAGTTGTTAGGCTTTCTGCCGATGTGCATGTGTCTAGTGTTGCAGAAATAACAGACATGTTTCTCCTTATTTTGGAGAAAAAAAGATGGTTGAATTCTGTGAGGAGGTGGCGGTTGAATTGACTGATGATAGAAAGATGTTAGGGTTCTTTTCTTTTCATTTCTGATCATTTCTTCAATCACAAATCCAAACATGCACTTATTTCAAAGCTTTTAAAGTAGAGATTATAAGAATTAAAAATTAAGTTATATTATAATTTATTTCCAATAATTAAATAATTTTATAATATTATTCTTTTTCGATTTTTCCTTTATTTTCTCTAAACTAAATTCTTTACTTTTTATTCTACTTTTTTAATCTATTATCATTCTCCCTAGTGGTTGGGTGAGGAGGGGTTGAGGTAGTTAGAAGCATGAAGACCTAGGTTCAATCCTCACTACGACCATCTTTGTAATCTTTCCTATCTTTACAAAAAAAAAAAAAAATCTATTATCATTCTCTTATCTCTTCGCATTATTTTTTAATACATCTCTAAACCAAGAGGTTATTCTTAGTAGTATTTGTGTATGTGGTACGTGTGAGGGACTCAATTTGGGGCAGACAGTGTTGTATATATATATATATATTAATATTCTTATTTAAAGATTAAGAAAATTAATTAATTTAATTGGTTATATTAAATTTATTCTATTCTTTTAAAATTATTTATAATATATTAATAATTTTTTTCTCTATTAATTACTTATTAAATTAAAAATAATAATATAAATATTTTTATTAAAAATGATTAATGCAATAAATGTTTTCAATTAATTTTTTTTATAAAAAACACAACACAGTACTCCTGATTTTGATCATATAAAATGGAGGGAAAGATGTGGTTGGATCCACTGCCTCGTGCATGACTTTATATATATATATTTACACGTCTATATGCTTTCATTATCAAAGCAGTTGTAACATTTGGATGATACATCTCTACCTATCTATCATATCAATCATGTTATATTAATCATAACTAGGGACGGAGCCAGGATTTCAATACTGGGGGGCCGAGAATAAATAATATATAATTTATAATAAATGAAAATTAAAGTATCAAAAGCATATTATCTGACAAAACTAGATAATAATTAACATAGGGGGTGCCATATAGTAATATATGAGTTTATATTAAAAATAGGGGGTGCCATATAGTAATATATATGTATATAAAAAAAAATTAAAATTGTTGGGGGGGCTGTGGCACCCGTAGGTCCCCCCTTGGCTCCGTCCTTGATCATAACTTTTCCTTCTAACTATTGTTATACAATCTTTGGTAAATTGTATTTATTTTACTAATATAAATTTGTATATTAATATAATACACTACTTTAATATATAAATTATATTATAATTAAAAATTATAATAAATAAATCTCTTAGACGAAATTATAACTATTTTTTTACATATCTAAAATTTATAATAAAATAATAATTTTAAATATATAAATTATATTATAATTAAAAATTATAATAAATAAATATTTTTAATATATAAATTATATCATGATATAAAATTATTTTAATTATAAACATTTTAAAAATTTTATTTAAAAATAAATATGAAAGGTTAAAATTAAAATAAACAAAAAGTTAAAAAGATTCCTATAAATAATTTAAAAGAAAAGTTATTATAAACACTATTATTAAAGAATTATTTTTAAAATAGTCTTGTTTAAGATAAATATTTTAATTTATATATATAGAAACAATATAATAATATTGTAATAACTTATTTTCACCTATATCACGGAATTCAATTCATATTTTGTGAGATTTTATCAATTAATTTTAACTAAATAAACCATCGATTTAGTTTCTAAAATATTATTATTTTTCTTTTTAAACAATCCTTAAACTAATGAAAGTGTATAAATAACTTTTAAAGTATTAACGAATATTCATTAACTTTGTATCCAGATTAATATATTTTTCACACATTAAGAGACTAAATTGAAAAAAAATTCAACATCCTTAAACAAGTATTTAGAAGAAAGAGTGATATTCGGTGGCCAAGTTGATGGTTATTCGTTTATATCTGAATATGACAGTGAGACGGAGAATAAAAGCTAATGTGCATCGTAGGATGAATTAAATGGCCAGGATTCTGATATGTGTGAGTGTGAGTGTGAGTGTGCTGCAGTCAATCCGAAGCACAGCATCCGAATATTCTGTTAGATATGCGTTTTTCTTGAATATTCTACGCATTCCATAGCCACTGTTGCATGGCATATTCGCATATATCACCAACTTATGCCTCTCTCGCAACCCATCTAATTTTTTCCTCTTAAACTACCAATTGCATCACCAACCTAATAATTGTATTTGTGTTTTCAGAGTCACAATAGTTTTTAACACCCATGCCTTCTTCTTTTACTATTAAAGTAGGATAATTTTTTATTAAGTTTCCGAAATAAATATTCTTTAAAAATCACCTATTTAAGTAAAAATACCCAACATCCATTAGATTCTCCTGTGGCAGTAAAATCTGACACGGGTTTAAATAATATATTCTGAGATGTTTGATTCATACTCTGTAAAAACTCGTGAGTAGTCACATCACAGTAATAATAACTCGAGCTGCATTAGGCCCTTGCTGGAATAGCAAGGAAAAGAAGTATTGGCATTTATGATTTGTTTTAGGTTATCGTTAGTTAGTTTTTTCTTTTAAGTATCATCAATACTTTGTTAGCACTGTTTTTTCACAGAATATAAACCCTCTTTGTAATAACGAAATTCAGTGAATGAAGCTTTTTTAAAGTGAGAAGCTTTCTCTTGTTTTGGTTTCTCGTTAGAGCCATGGCAGACAACACCATGTCCTTTCTCTTTACCATCATCATCAGCTTTGGCTTCTGCGTTCTTTATGCATCTGCAGAACTACAGAGATTTGCACTCTCTTCTAAACACGACGGTTCTCTTAGCTTCTTGGTGCTTGGTGACTGGGGAAGAAGAGGTGCTTACAACCAATCACAAGTTGCTTTCCAGGTTTGCTTTTATGTTCTTCATTTCTCCTCATTTCAGTTATTATCATTTAATGGATGAAAACAATGTTGTATTGTACTGAAAAAACAAAGTTACATGAATATGAATGCAGATGGGAAAGGTTGGAGAGAAGCTTGATATCGATTTTGTAGTTTCCACTGGAGACAACTTCTACGACAATGGACTCACTAGTGACCATGACAACGCTTTTGAAGAGTCATTCACTAAAATTTACACAGCAAAAAGCCTGCAAAAGCAGTGGTACAGTGGTAATTTCCTAAACTCATCAATGATGACATACAAGTTATACTATAGAGTCTAGTAGAGCTTATCATATACTTTTGTATCATGTTGGATGCAGTGTTAGGGAACCATGACTATAGGGGTGATGCAGAGGCCCAACTGAGCCCGGTCCTTAGAGAAATTGATAGCAGATGGCTTTGCCTAAGGTCTTTTATTGTAGATTCAGGTATTTTCTTGCTTCTTGTTTTTCTTTCTTTGAGATTATCTTCTAGACATTAAAACCATTGCAATAATCTGGTGTTTCTTCTCCTGCAGAGCTGGTTGAGATTTTCTTTGTAGACACTACTCCTTTTGTTCACGATTACTTCATTCAACCACAGGAACACAAGTATGATTGGCGGGGCATTGGCTCACAAAAACCTTATATTACAAACTTACTCAAGGTGTGCATAGATTACTTTTACATTTTGCCACTCGGCACAAGATATCTGAATTTTCAGCTGGCAGTGTTCTTCTGTAAAATTATAGTAGGGAGAATTTGAAATATTCAATTAGCTGCAAAATTTAGTTTAAATATTTCTAGTTCAATCCACAATTGTTTTTGATAGCAGAATAACATATTTTTAATCCATAAATCTAACCATTTGGACAAATTGAAATACATGAAACTTGCAAACCGGAAAATTCCCTTTGTTGTACCACGCTTAGCTGTTGCCAATTTGCCATCCACTTGATGATTGATTAATAATAGTGCTTTCTTCTCATATAAGTGAGAGTGATATAATTGATTGAGGTTATAATATTATGTTGCAGGACGTAGAATTGGCACTGAGGGAATCAACAGCAAGATGGAAGATTGTTGTTGGTCACCATGCCATTAGAAGTGTTGGGCACCATGGTGATACTCAAGAACTTATAAATCAGCTTCTCCCAATCCTTCAGGTAACTAAAAGCTGAGGATGAATAACTGAAGATGACTCTCATCTCTCTGCCTAACTCAGTTAAATTTACTTTCAAATTTCAGGCAAATAACATTGATTTTTACATGAACGGGCATGATCATTGTCTTGAACACATCAGTGACACAGAGAGGTAAAACTAAATGAATTCATGCAAATTTTTACATGGAACAAAGCAAAAGAAATATATTTGTCTGATCGAGGAACTTGTATGCAGTCCCATTCAATTTCTGACTAGCGGGGCAGGGTCAAAAGCTTGGAGAGGAGACACTAAACAAATGAATCGAAGAGACCTAAATTTCTTCTATGATGGACAAGGCTTCATGTCCGTGAAATTGACTCAGACGGATGCCTCCATTGAGTTCTATGATGTTTTTGGCAACGTTTTGCATAGATTGACTTCTTCAAAACAGCTACATTCTTCCATGTAAATAGACCAACCCAAATTGGTTGATGTAATTTCAAACCAATCCTTGATGTCATGTTTTTTAGTATGTATGAGAAATGAAAATACTATGGGCCAAATCCCATTCTTTATTGTGATTCATTCACCGCAGGGACGAATTGCTATTTAACTTCTGACTTGTAAATTTAAGGTGTCAGAGAAGTAATTCTACTTAATTTCAAATTTGCAATCCACATACCTTAGTTTGGAAAGCTTATCATCACCGGTTCAATAATTTAATATTTGAATTATTGCGAGTAATAGTTCTGAATGGAAGCATATCTTTGTTAGGATGTGATGCCAATTTATTTTAGGATGGAAAGCATATCTTTGTTCTGAATGGAAGCATATATTTGTGGATAAGAACGTGATGCCAATTTTTTTTCGAGGATAATTGATTTATAAGGATGGCTAAATGGAAGCATACGTTGCTTATATCCAATATCCACTGGTATCTTATACACCACCATTAAAATACGACCATACCTGAGACCTTAGAGGATATCATAAAGACAAATAACGTGGATATAGGAATATGAGAAGTGTCCAAATCCCAAGCTTGATTTCAATTTATTTTATCAGTGAATTTGAGAAGAGAAAGAACTGAAAAGAAAACTCCCATGTGACGTGATGTTACAAAAGGAAATACACTTCCGAATTTGTGAGAATAATACTCATACTTTGAACCCATTAACGTCAAGTTGTCAACTCCAGCAAAATAATTTGGAACTTGACAACACCTACTTTACACCGAACGCACGAATAATGAGACTAGTTGAGGGAATCAATTACCACTTACCAATACGTTTCTACAAACTCAGCATTTATCATTCGCTCACACGTTGCTTCAGCAATCGAAACTTGAATTCGCTGGTTCTAATTAAATGGAGCATACATTGGCACCATAGCAATTAGCAAGATTGTCTTTAGCTAGGAAGTTGCAACGAAGCTGCACAAAACTGACATGTGGGGCCCAGTGACACCCTATTGTTTGCGTCCACGTGCTTTTCTCGGCTTGTCCGTTAGTATATTGATTTTAAAATTATGCATGTCGTGCCACTGAGCCATTAGTACGTATAAGTTATCTATCTATCTATGACATTTTGACAGTAACGCTTAAGATCCATTTTGGTCATCAACTCTTGCTAGACTTTTTTATTTCGTTATATAATTTGTCCTACAAGTGAAGAGTTGGAAACACACACACAAACACACAAAAAAATGGCTGGTTTGGGATTATGGATGGCTTTCATCAGTGTTTGTTTTGTGTCTGTATCAGCTCTGCTGCAACGCCTAGAGCACCCTGTCAAAACTGATGGCTCACTTAGCCTTGTGGTCATTGGAGACTGGGGGAGGAAAGGAACGTACAACCAATCTGAAGTTTCTGCTCAGGTTTTTGTTACATCCATTCTTCATCTAATAACCGCTTAAGAATTTCAGTCACATAAACTCTACCTTCTTTCTAACCCCAACCCCCGCAAAAACATGAGGGCAAACTTGTGTTCCAATATTAGTCTAGTAACACAAGTACACAATTACTAGTATATTTTTATTAGGATTTATAACATAGCATTAACATCTTCGTGAATCTTTTTACTTGCTCTTTTGAGACTTGTTTTTTATGCTAGGATGCTTATGGCCTGTATAGATACTTTTTCAGAAGCATTTATAGGAGAAAAAAATAAGATGAAATATGGAAACAAACTTATAAAGAAGTTTATTTCATTTATTTATTTATTTATTTATTATTATTTTTTTAAAGTGTTTCTGGAGAAGGTTATCCAAACACTCTATGTCTAGTTAGGTACACAAAAGCTGGTGCTTTTTAAACACTCAACTCTTTGTGTATGTCAGATGGGAAGAGTAGCTGCAAAGTTAAATATCGACTTTGTGATATCCACTGGAGACAATTTCTATGATGATGGATTGACTGGTATAGACGACCCAGCATTTGAAAACTCCTTCTCTAAAATCTACAATGCCAAGAGCCTCCAAAAGCAGTGGTATAATGGTAAGTTCTGACACCGATTGCAAAGATAGATTTATTAGTCAAAATTTCTTAACAAGCTTATATGTGAGTAAACACTCCTCTAATATTTCATCATGTCTATCAAATGTGTTGCACTTTGGTTGTAGTCTTGGGCAACCATGACTACAGGGGAGATGTTGAAGCTCAATTAAATCCAATCCTTCAGAATATTGATCCTAGATGGATCTGCCAAAAATCATTTATTGTTGATACCGGTAAGGAAGCTTCTCAACAGAGCTTTATGTCTTGGTATAATAAAATATCGACATCATTAAGTATTCTTCTAATCTTAAAACTCCCCAGAAATTGCTGAGTTCTTCTTCGTTGATACAACACCATTTGTGGACAAGTATTTTCTTAAGCCAAAGGAGCACAAGTATGATTGGAGAGGAGTGCTTCCAAGAGAGAAATATCTATCAAAGCTCTTAATGGTAAATCTCTCGATCATTATTAAATCAGCACAACAAATTAAGATAAAAGCAATCTAATGCAATATTTTTGGTCTTTTGGGGCGTGGCTTTGAACATAGGATCTGGAAATAGCATTAAAGGATTCTACTGCCGACTGGAAGATTGTTGTGGGGCATCATCCTGTAAGAAGCATAGGGCACCATGGTGACACTCAAGAGCTCATAAGGCAGCTTCTGCCAATCCTTGAGGTCATTTAGCCAAATATATCGTATACAAAGAAAACTAGTGAAAAATGAGGTGCACCCTTTACTGATAAAATGAAAATTGCAGGCAAACGACGTGGATATGTACATTAATGGGCATGACCATTGCTTGGAACATATAAGTAGCACAAGCAGGTGCGTATTAACTTGGGCTTGTTTGTTAACTAAATCACCTTTAAATGATGATACATATTTGATTATATTGAGTGTTGTTACAGCCAAATTCAGTTCTTAACCAGTGGAGGAGGTTCAAAAGCATGGAAAGGAGACATCGATAAAGAGAGAAGAGATGGGATGGAGTTTTACTATGATGGACAAGGATTTATGTCCCTGGAGCTTCAACAAACCAATGCCAAAGTTGTTTATTATGATATTTTTGGCCAAGTTTTGCATACTGTGAATTTGTTCAAGGGGTTACGTTCTGCCTCTGCCATATAGAAGAGTCGCTGTGAAAGTCCTACCTACTGGCCTAAACAAGATTAGTGGACATGGTTTTAAGTTTGACACTAATTACAATTACCTAATGCCTTGTAAACTCCTTTGCCCCATCTATTCATGAAGAAAAAAGATTTGAGGACACCATATTAGTTAACAACCGGAGAGAGGTATAAAGAAAATTAACAATGAGTCCCAATTATTTAACACTGGGTAAAAAATTACGCAAAATCTTCTGTTTTTAATTATATTTTGTATATCCTTATTTCAAAATTATTTATAATTAATCATATTAGTTTATTTTAACCTATAATGTGATATTTAAAATTGTATAAATATTTATTATTCGATAATATATCTAAATTTTTTTAAATAATATCAAATTCTATATACATGAATATCATATTATATAATTTAAAAATTAGATCAATTATATTTATATTATAAAAAATTATTAAAAGTATAAAAATTGATTCAAATTTTTAGATTTATATATAATGAATTACTTTCCTGGTGAATGTATAAAACCAAATTTTATTTTTCATTTTAATATTTTAAAATGATTATTGATCATTAACTTTTCGAAGAATCTTTCGTTACTAGCCGTGAATGATAGATTTTCTCTTTTTTTATTTTTTTATTTTTTTTATTTTTATGATTTGTTGATACGATATTGAGATTGAAATATCGAAAAGAAAAGGATAGAATTATATGATTTAATTTTTTTTGTCCCTAAAATATCTCCCGCCGATAACAATGACTAGAATTATATAATTTAATTTAATTTGTAATTGCCGGAAAATTTACTTGAATATTCTTATAATCATATTTATAAAAATAAAATAAAGTAATAAAAAATAAAATTGACACAACAAAAGAAGTTAAGTAGTTTAATAGATTATACAGGAAGTTTAGGTGTGTAAGTTTGTAAAGGTAATTCACGAACTTAAACTTAACCAATAAATTTAGACAAATTTTTTTAATGTTTGATTTAATCTCAATTCAACCTTTTGTATTTTTTGATCCATGATTCAATTTAACTACTACTAATAATAATAAATTAATATAATCATTTACTTATAACAATATTTTTTGTCATTTTTTTCGGTAATAAATATTGTATTTTTAAATCGATAATATTGTAAGGAATTAATAATATAATATATTTATTTTTAATTTTATTTTATATTAATATTAATTGTTTGATCGAATAATAATGCAGTAAATTAATAAATTTATTTTTAAATTTAGTTTATATTATTATTTATTTTATTGATTAATAAGTAACAAAATATTAAATGATTTATATTTATTATAAAATGTTTAAATTTTATAAAAATAAATAAATTTAATTATATTAAAAAAAGTTTCTAAATATTTAATTATATTAATTTGATTGATCTAACTTAATCTAACATAATTATAATCAAATTAGATTAAGTATAAATTTTTAAAAATATATATATAAACTTGATTCAACCTAATTCATTAAATTTTAATGAAGAGATTCATTTAATCTTATGCATAGGATCCAAGATAACTTATAATGAAGAACATGAATTATAATCTTTATAAAGTCATTTTTTTTATTATTTTTATAAAAAAAATTGTATTTCCCAATCATTTCAGCGACATGTTATCAAGTCAATTGACAGTCAAAGTAAAAAATGCAATTTAGCTAAATATTGAAATACTTTATTATCTCTCCTTTATCACATTAATAAACAAGTATCCACTTAATTAATTGTTTTAATTCATAACGTATTCTTTCAGTGTGTATCCTGTGGATTTTTTTGTTCCTAATTCTAGTGAATTACTTGAGCAATTTGATGAATTATTTAAAGCCATTTGAACATTTGAGTCGTTACTTTATTTACTTAACATGTCTCTATGTTTCTGGAAAGAATAATAAGCTAGCCTATTGAGCTAAAGAAAAAAAGAAAAATTTGGTAATACAGAATGTATAAAATGAATAAGATTGGAAGGATTGAGGGGGAAGTGAATGACATAAAATAGCAAGAAATGATACAGGATGAGATGCTCACCACAAAATCCCAGCATGAGTGGCCAATTTGGGACCCAACACTTGCCTGCAGTTTTAAGACTCAGGTTTGGACAAGTAACTCCTCTCTCCTCTCTCCTCTCTCCTCTCTCTATTTTCTCAGCCTCGCAAATCATAAATCACACGTTTCATCATTCGCGAACTCTCTAATCTCTCCTTCACACCAAAATATCTCCAATTTACCTATTTCAACCTTTGCTGTAAACTCATACTTAAGAATAAATAAATATTTTTATTACGAATTACTAAAATATATTATTAATATTAATATTAAATGTTATGATTTTTTAATAAAGTTTCTTATTTTTAATTCCATAACCATAAGAATAATGATGAGCAGAGATAAATAATAAATAATAATTATAAAATCATAAAATTTTGTTTGGAGGGCTGAATGGTCATTTAACATACACGAGACGCCCTATAAATACTTGACGTGGCGACTTAACCTCTCCGAGTCCGACTAAAAGCCATCAGAATTGAATAAACAGAAGAAAATCATCGATAACCATTTTCTCTCTCTAGGGTTTCTTTGCCTTCAGCTTTATTTCTTACTTTCTTCCGTAGATCCAGCTTTTTTGTTCGCTTTTCGGAGCTGCAAATGGACGTGGCAGTGACTGCCGTCCGGTCGCCGGCGATCGCCCTTGGAAGACCGATCAACGCCTCCGCCTCAGCTCGGTTCGCTTCTACTTTAGGATTTTCCAGAAAGGTACGGTTACTGTGATTCATTGATTACTTGTTCTGTTTTTTATCTGCTAGTAGTTGGAATTAGGAATCGGAAATGAAATGATGCTTTGTTAATGCATTCAATTGCATGCGTGAAGAGATTAGTTATTAATGAGTTTCATTCATTTGTTTATTTTTACCAGGTATGCTTCACTTCATTATCTATCCCCAAGCAAGGTCGCAGGAATAGAAGAGGATTAGTAGTTAGAGCAGCATCGTCATCTGAATCCGATGGCACTGCGAAGATTGCTCCTCTTCAGTTGGAGTCCCCAGTTGGGCAGTTTCTTTCTCGGATTTTGAAAGATCATCCACATCTCGTGCCTGCTGCCGTCGACCAGCAGCTTGAGCAGCTTCAAACTGACCGCGATGCTGATCAACAAAAGGAAGAGCCCTCTGCTTCAGGCACTGATTTAGTTTTGTACAGGTTTCTTTCATTCTCACTTCTCATTTTCTCTTCATGTTATTACGAAATCGCTAATGAATCTGCCAACTTACATTCCTTGCTTATTTCGCATACATGACTTGTATGAATGAAAACTGATCCCTTTGGTGGCTACAAAACATTCTTATGTGCACTACTACGGTTTAGATTTTAGTATAAAAGTATTATATAATTTGTTGGATGCCACGTATTTTTTATGGTTAACTGGATTGACATAGTACTTTTGGATCATACATGAGTTTCTCCTAAACTACACACTTTGCTGTATTATTTTCCACTGTTCATTGTCAGAATGATGAAGTTGAAATTAAAGTCACGTTAATTTTTTATTCACATAGGATTTGTTGGGTGTATTGTAGAGTATAGTATACCGAGTCCATCTGTTGTATTCAATTGATTATAAAATATTAGTATGTAGGTCCACGTGCATTCTGTAAGGAACACATTCATGTACTATGCATTTCAAATCTGATCAAACTGTATACGCGTATATGCCCTGTGTTTGGTGAAGAAAGGACCATCTCCTCTCCCATGGATAGTCTAGAAATTGATAAAATCAAAGAATTTAATTTTTTTTCTTCTAAAGAATTGAATTTTAGTCATTGGAATCTATTTACTTTTGTGAAAATGTCTCTTCCCTAATTTAATTTAGGGTCTATTTGGGTAAACTTTTTCGGAAACACATGTAAGAGAGAAAAAATAAAGAGCAAAAATGCAATAAGAAGAAAGAAAATGAAATAAGCTTCTCAATAAGCTAAAACTAGCTTATGCACATATTAAAAAAAATGTTTTGGAAAACTATGAGAGAACTTCTGCAAATTAACTTATGCATAAACTAATTTTAGATTATGGAGAAATTTATTTCATTTTTTATTCCTATTTTTTCTCCTAGAAGTGTTTCTACAGAAGTTTATTTTAGGAGACCCTTAATTCCATTCTTGCAAAAAAATGTAATAGGAAAAGAGTAACTCGGTATTCTTGAATTGCTTTAATGAAAAGAAAAAGTGGTAGCCATGAATGGCACCGTTTAAAAGCAGAAAAAAGGTGCAACCAGGGAGTGTGAAACATTTAATTCTTATTCCACTTTATCTCAACTTCTATTTATATACCGTAAAGTGTTTGTCTTAAACAAATCTGATGTTAACCATTGTTCTGGCTTCCAAACTATTTCAGGAGAATTGCTGAGGTGAAGGCTAATGAAAGGAAGAAAACTCTGGAAGAGATCTTGTATGCATTGGTGGTGCAGAAGTTCATGGATGCTAATATTTCTTTGATACCCTCCATAATCCCAGATCAGTCTGGTAAGGTTGATCTGTGGACAAACGAAGATGGTAAACTTGAACAGCTTCACTCACATGAAGCATATGAGATGATTCAAAACCACTTGAGTCTCATTCTGGGTACCAAAGTAGGAGATTTAACATCAATAGCTGAAATCAGCAAATTCAGGGTAGGGCAAGTCTATGCAGCATCGGTGATGTATGGTTATTTTCTTAAGCGAGTTGACCAAAGGTTCCAGCTGGAGAAGACAATGAAAATTCTTCCAAATGCAACAGAAGAAGAGAATAGTGTTCATCAAACTACAATGGACAATGCAAGTCCGAATATTGAAGAGGACAATTCTCAAGTGATGTCTCATCCTGAAGTATCTACCTGGACTGGTGGTGACGTCAGTCCTAGTGGATTCAGCTATGGTATAAAGCCCACCAGGTTGCGTAGCTATGTGATGTCCTTTGACGGTGATACCCTACAAAGATATGCGACAATTAGATCCAAAGAAGCTGTCAGCATCATTGAGAAGCACACAGAGGCATTGTTTGGAAGACCTGAAATTGTTGTAACACCTGAGGGGGCAGTCTCTAAGGATGAAAACATCAAAATTAGCTTTGGTGGTTTAAAGAAACTTGTTTTAGAGGCTGTGACTTTTGGGTCTTTTCTCTGGGATGTTGAGAGCTATGTGGACTCTAGGTACCATTTTGTCTTGAACTGAGTAAGCCCCACCAGGTGGGAGCCTTGTGCATTGGGTTGTCCTCTTGAGCTCTGTTTGCTCCCATACATGACAAGGCATAGTTAATAATAGTGTGATGGTACCGACTGATGGAGTATATTTTCTTCCATGTTAAAAGTTCAAGATATTGTTCACTAATCATCTGTATATACTATATAGTTATAGGGCTGTGAATTTTACTAATGAAAGGAAGGTTATTTACAAGGTAAATATTTATTTGTCCTTTTTTTCCCTGCAACAAAGCCATAATGATAAAGCATCAGCTTTTGTGATTTTCCTCCTTTGCTGCCTGGTTAGATGGCTGAATTTTTCATATTTAGGTTTGCAGAATAGTGTTTGTATAATTTATAAGATAATGGCTTGATGGTATTTGCATCCGGACTGATTCACGGGGCACTGGTGGTTTTTTTAGCCTTCCCCCGTGTCACTAGGCCAACCTTAAGCCAGTAGTAACAACATGGGTGTAGAAAGTAGGAACAGAGCCCAACATTAGGAACTGGATGGAACAACTGAAATTGCAGTTTCCTGGCGCCCTTGGGTTGCAATTAAGAGCACTCCAGTCTCCACTTTTATAGCAGAATCAATTTTCAACCCCACGCATAGGGATTCCATTAAGTTGCCCGTGTTCTTTCTTTATTTTTATTTTTTTTCAAAAATAGTGGGTTGTTTATTATTCCATTCTTTCAATTTAAATACTAGGAGTTAGAGTTTCATTGTTAATGATGATTTTAAAAGCACTTAAGCGGGAATTTTCTATAACAAATATATGATCTTTGTCTTCTGTGCCAAAAATGCTGTACAAAATTGGTGGCTGGTGATGCTAGAAATTTCCAAAGACTTTATAATGTTGAATAAAAAAAGAAGTTACGGGCAGTGCTGTGATGGAAGCATGTGAGAAAACTAATTTTCTTTTTTTCGCTTTCTTTGATGCAAAGGAATTAAGGGTTGAATCTCTAAAAACATATACATGTTTAATAGTTCACGATGTCTAGAATAAAATTGCCTTTAACAAAAAAAAAAAAAAAAAAAAAGAACTTGTAACGGGAAAAATTGCAATAAAGTGAATGGTAGTCGTATCACGTGCTTATTTTGACTGAAGATGTTTTGGTTTTACCCATTCTTGATTCTCCTCTTGGTCAACATTCAATTTTGAATGCGCTCACTTCAATATATAAACACCCAACCAAACATCCTCATTCATTCTCATTCTCAATTCTCATACCTTAAAACAGAAATGGTTCTCGGGAAGAAGAAGATGAAGAAGGGCATGGTTTGGTTCTTGAGGCAGCAAGATCTCTCCTGGAAAGAGACCTCAATTGTTGCCCTCAGAAACCTTGTTTGTTATTTGGTCAAACCATTGCGAAAGCTTCGTTGGCGGTGGTTTGGCATTTGGTTTGCTCTAGTGGGAGAATGAGATTGAAATTTATCCAAGTGGGAATGGTTTGTTTAATGTTGGAGATTGTCCTTGAGTTGGAGGGGGAAAGAAGCACGTGCGAGAAGGCTTTGGGTGTTTTTGAGTCCCTCTGCGGTTGTGAAGAGGCTTATGGCAATGCGTTAGCGGTTCCTGTGTTTAGGGTTTACCAAATGTATGGATGAGTGTGGATTTTGGAAAAGAAATATGACATGGAATTAATGGAAATAATGTGCAATCTGCAGAGTGAAGAAGAGAAAGAGGGGAATGAAGCCTGGTCCGAGAAATAAACTGAATCCTATCTCGAGCCAGACAATATTCCCCACATCCTCAATCTCCCACCTGGAAAAGGAAAATGGTATGTCATGAAAGAAAGAACCTATATGTATATCTTCTCTCACCATCTGCCACTTGGCCACTCTCTTTGTTTTGTCGTTAAGAATTTCCAACATTGAGTTACACCTTGCTTCGGAATAAGGTTATTATATTAAAATGCCTCATATTCTGTATGCCATTTTATCTATCAATTTCACAATAATTACCCCATCTCTAATCAAATTACTTATATCACTATACTTTCTTTCCTCATCCATTAATCCATTGGATGTCAGGCTGCTCATAGCTGACATGTCATTGCTGATTTCGGAAGTGATTACATACGCTACACAAAAATCTAGTTTACTTATTTTGTGTTTCAAATCTTTTCATCATTCATACAATTCTCTCGGAAATTCATCAACCACGACCATGATTTAAGTAGCATAACAAATGCTTGATTAATGCAACCATGTACTCATATGATTAAAAACAAGGCAATCTGATTAACCACGTACACGTTAAGATCCTCTTTTTTCCTTTTCATTAAAACATTTCCCTCGAAAAATAAATTATTAATTTAAGAATGAAACATAAGCCGTGGTGAGATATACATTTTTCGTTAAATAATTCGTTTGTACTAACAACAACTGCAGACATACAATGCAAATTGATTGAACATAGTTTCTGGATCTATTTTCCACACTTTCTGATCTGGAATAGAAAAATTTGTGGACTGAGGAAAGGTATCTTAACCAGCTAGTCGTAACTGCGTTTACAATTTTTGATCCTACTTCTGTGTCTGGACACTGGGATAACCATAATTTTTCACCCCATTCTGTGCTTCATTAACCAGAAATAGCTTCTCATCATTGTTAATCATGTCCACATAAAGAATTTTTCCACCTTGTTCTGATAAAATACAGGAACCATTTGGAATGTCCAAATGTTTCATCGATTCCTTTATAAGCTCTTTAATGCTTTGTGGAACCCATAGGACCACTCCCTCTTTTCTTTCCTCTTTCTGATCCCATGGGTGGAAAGGAAATACTATACACCTCTTTCTGGGAATTTCATTTCTTGACTGCAACATTGGTGTTGCTGCAAAATTGTTGAACGCATATGATTTGTTAGAATGTACATGGGGAAAAAAATTATGTATTTCAGTGGATGTTGGGTATCCGAGTAGTTAAACTTAAAAATGCAAGATACGATTCTAGGACATAATGTGAATGGTTTTAATGAATTTTAATTGCTCACGAAACATAAGAATCTTGACATCCCTAACGTTCAAAATACAGAGTATCTAACAACCCAGGTTCAAATGCCAGCGTACCAAACACCTAAAGATCGTCTAAGATGGTATTCTGTGCTCAGAAACTTAACCATACCTTGAGTTTCATGAATACTGCTGGACAACTCAGCCAACTGAGAAACTTTTGCAACTTCGAACATTTTGATCATATTTCTATTTCCACCGGTATGAGCTTCAAGAAGAGGTGTATTTCCCCATCTTCCAGAAGGAAATATTAAAAGATGTTATTTTGCAGTTCAATAAACAACACAAAAATGCTATTCTAAGATCCCTCCAAGTTAGCAATGAAATAAGTTTACATTAGAACAATGAAGGTGCTAATGGAATATAAATTATTGTCTGATAAGAATGCTAACTCAATATTTGGTCCATACCTGTCCTTGGATAAAACACTTGCTCCTGCTTCTAGAAGTAATTCAGCCATTGTAATCAAACCTTGAGAGGCAGCTACGTGAAGAGGTGTACGGTGATCGTAATTTTTGGCATTTGGATTGATTCCACAAGCCAAAACCCTTTTTAAAAGGTCCAAGTCCTTCTTTACAACAGTCATGCAGAGAAAGTTACCAACATCATCAATAGTAAGGATCGCTCCCGAATTAACAAGTACAGATGCTACTTCTTCATGTCCATTCTTGATGGCTTCAAGCAAGGGAGTGGCTCCAAATTTATCTAAAACAAACGGGTGTTTAAAATGTAACACTATTTTTTCTTCAAAGAAGCATTTTCAATAAAATATTGTCCTTGATTTGGGTTTTAAAGTTCAAAAGCTAACCTGTGGAATTGATATTTACTCCTTGTTCAACAAGAAAGGAAGAAATATCTACATATCCTTTTGATGCTGAGACATGCTGTAATAGCAAACATAAAATCAAGTTAATAAGAGGGAAACGAGAGGAAAAATCAAATCCAAGTATTTGTTTGACGCTACTGTGTTGAGTAGATACTAGAGACAAATTAAATTACAAGTAATGGGAGAATATAGAGATAAATTATCTATATGTAATTATGCATAATGAAGAAATGGAAATGTGTTATTAAAATAAGTTGTTGATACCAAAGGTGTTCTGCCATCATAATCAGGCTTATTGGGATCTGCCCCAAATCCAATCAAACGTTTAACAACGTCGAGGTGACCATCATGAGCGGCACAGTTCATTCTCGTAGCTAGCCCTGTTTCCAGGTTTCCTATAGTCAGGTTGAAGTCTGATACCAAAAGCTTACGCTGAACACTCAAGTTTTTTACCTGTCAGCCAAGTACAAGCATGTATTATAAACTTATCAACTGAGAATCTCTATCCCAAGACCTAACAATTCCTTCAGTTAGTAAAAAGGCCATAAACTACTATTTGTTAAACATACCTCAAGGAGATTGTTTAAGACAATACGACCATCTAAAAAGTACATCTTCAGTATTTCAGTAAAGGATTTCATATCAAGTTGCAAAACCTTGGAAAATTCACGAGCTTCAACCGTGGAAGTTTGAGGCATATTGCAAAAAAAAGAAATCTGGCCAAAGTAACAATGGGTACGCAATGTGATTGTCTCTTCAGTATCACCATCTTCTCTTTTTACCTCGTTCTGTTGACAACAAGTTTAAAAATGTGATATAAAATAATTCATCATTAACAATGCTTTTTTATGCATATCATTTACTGATTCTGATTATACATTTCAAGTTTTCTTATATCCATTTTAACTTGAAATATTTTAATGAGACTATCTTATATATATGATAGTTTGTTTTGAGTCACGTACAATTCGGTCAGAACATAAAGGGAAGCACTCATGTTTCTTACTATCTCTGCACAGTCGATTCCTTATTCAGACAGTTGACACTAGAGGAGGCAGTTGTTTCAAATAATATAAGCAGTAAAATCATGAGTGAAAGTAACAGTGAAGATGTTACTCTGAATTACTGAAAAAATAAGAAAAATATACATAGATACACAAATGGATGGGTTAATTACTGAATTAGTGAATTCTTACCAGCTCACCATGATATACAAAGTAGAGTTGATCTGCAACATCTCCTTGCTCCGTAACCAATGCTCCTGGGAGGAAAAACTCTTCTTGAACTTTGGTTGCCTATTTCAATTTAAGACAGATTTTTGGTTTATAACTTTTGTCAAAAACAGGAAATACGTTAGATATAACAAAATAATAACATTCAGCTAAAATTAGAGATGAAAAAATAGGAATTAACACACAATATTTTTACGCGAAAAATCCTCATCTGATAAGGAAAAAATCGCAAATAAGACTAGAGAGGCGGAAGAAAAATTATAATCTTTTTCTAAATATAAGGAAAGAATAATAATACTCTCTCTTACAATAGGAGAATATACTCACTTAAAGACCCTCTATTTTTTATCTCTCTCAAATGAGGAGCTACAATTTGGGATGAATAAAATAACGTATTGAAGGTGTTATTTATATGAAAAGGAAGGAGTATAATTACTAAATGCATGTAAAAAATTTCTACATCGCATTTAGCTATTCCTATGTCTACCTTTTATTGACTTTGTTGTCACAAAATGGTTTTACATTCACATGATTTTTCAAAACAAGCACTAAAAATGATAACTAAGCATAACTACTAATGAGCAATTAAGTGAAAAATTACGATTAGAGATTAAGAAGACTAAATATATGAAGAGAAGTTGAAATATAATAGTATAATTGAATAAACTTTTTTAGAAGCACCTTTTGAAGAATTTTTTTTTTTAATAAATTAAAACAAACATAATAGGTTGAGAATAGAAAATTTGTAACATCATACAAACAAAAAGGAGAAAAAAAACTAATATGATATATTTGAGTTATAAATTAAATTTTATATACATTGAAAATATTATAGCAAGTGTTTAAATACTAAAACTAATTAACCTTTGATTGATTAGTAAAGTAAGCAACAAATTATGAATGAGTTAACAAGCAAACATCATTTACTTGTACAATTTATTTCTTCTAAATATAAATAACTTTTCATGAAATTTACAAGCAAAATTAAAAAATTAAAAAAACAAAAATATTTAATTATGACTCCGAAGAAATCTTAACCGCCAATAAATAAGTTAATTTTGTTTATAGAAAATTTTATTTCATATTTTTTTTCTTATGCCAAATTGTAAACTTCAAAATCCAACTATATATTATATATCGTAGATGATATATAGTGTGAGCATATGTAAAGAATTAATGTCTTACAATCTGTTTTATAAAGGCCGAAGAGCATCCCTTGAAAAGAGAAACTTTGTGAATGAACTGCTCATATAAACTGATTAAAATCTGCAAAGAGGAATAAATAATGAATAATGTGGAAAGTGGAAAGTGATGAAGAAAATAGAGATTTTGTATTTGGTAATACCTTAGTGCGGATGGTGGTGGGTATGTCTTGAAGAACAGAAGGTGCAGTGTAAGTGTGATCATACTTGAAGCGGAAGCGCAAATGTTGTTGAATGTCGTGACGTATCTGGCGGTCCAAATTGTTGTTATCAACATACTTAATAATATCGGACATCTTATCTCTGAACCTCTCCGTCCTAGAGCCTTTGACGATCAACGCAGTCATGTTGCCGAGAAGGTAAGCGCCGAGAATCATGTCAAAGGAAACATAAATCATGACAAAAATCATTTCCCTGACATTGACGGCGTGGATGTCTCCGTAGCCAACAGTGGCCATGGTAACAATGGCAAAGTAGAGGGAAGTAACGTAGCGCTTCCAGAGGTCAACGTGTCTGAAGTCGGAATAGGAATAGTCACCCATCTTCAAGGTACCGATCCAGGTGTAAGACTCCTGAGAAGGAGGCACGGTGGTGGCAAGATAGTAGAAGATGCATGCAGCGGTGTGGGTGCAGTAGAGTTCAACGACCAAGAGTTTGACGATGCGGGTGAAGAGGTAGTTGACCCTGGTGTCCTTCTCGAGGGACTCGAAGAATTCGGTGACTCTGAGAGCACGGGTGAGTCTGAGCCAGAGGAGGTAGCGGAGGGGCTCTTTGTGGCCGGCGAGTTTGTAGATGTAGTCCCATGGGAGGCAGGAGAGGAGGTCGGGGAGGAAGCGAGACTTGAGGTATCTGAGGGCGATTTGGCGGTGGTCGTTCGAGTGGCTGGCCAGGAAGAAGCGGACCAAGATGTCCATCAGGAAAGCCAACTGGCCGGCGATGTCCAGGAGGAAGATGTTGTGGGGTAGGCCTCTGAAGAAACCAAACTCCATGGGAGTGAAGAAGGATGAGTACACTGCCCATATCAGAATGAAGTGCTTCCACGCCACGTACCACCTATTCATCGTCAAATAAACATTATATTTAACTTAATATGCCCCAATCACCTTGCCCTACTATTATTATACAACTTCACATTCTACCTTACCCTTTTCCCCAGAGACCATATCCTCTTGAATGTATGGTGGAGTCTTTTATTTTTTAAAAAAATTAAAAAAGTAGCATTAAAAAATTAAAAAAGTAGTGAAACATAAGGAAAGATGTAGTAATAAATAGGGTAAGGTGAGGTGTTCAGGCAAACGAAGAGAGGAATTAATGTTGAAATGCGAGAGGTCGCTGTGTTTGATGAATGATGAGCAGTGAGTACAGCTGGTGAGACCTTGGAATGGACAGTGGACACTATTTGGTCCAAGATTCAAATAAAACGATAAAATGAAAAAAGAAAGAAGAAAAGAATAAATGAAATATTTAGATAGATAGAATTAAAAAGAAGTATGAGAATGAAAATTTGGTATTTTCTTGTTTGTTTTTCATGAATCCAAACAAAGGGATATATAGATGATAGATAGGGGAGAAAGATGGGTATGTTTATAGAAATAGAATCAAGTAAGGGAAGATGCATGGAGGAATATGAAAAATAAAAAAGAAAATATAATTGGAAAAATGAAGTACCGGTTATGAGGATGAATGAGAAATGGGTGGCATGCATGAGCATCGGCGGCGCGTGTGGCATAACAAGGGTTGATGTATCCTCTTCTCTTCCTGCTGCTTCCTTCACCTCCGCCATCACCACGCATTATGGTCTTCTTTCCCAACCTAAAACTCTACTACAACATATATGTAAAGGACAAGAAGCTAGCTAGGTTTTGAGCAGTGCTAAATAAAGAAATATGTTACTTAAATAGCCTCTCAAGAGTCATCTATCTCTCTCACTTTCCTTTTGTACTAAGAACGCTACCATATGCATGTCATCCGAACATTTAACAGTGTAACCTTAGTGGTGACAAACAGAATCCTAAAAGGAATTCGCTACTTTAGATTCTCATTAACTTCCATGTCATTTTAGCTATCCGCCTCATAAGACATAAACTTACACCCTACATTTTTCTAATTTCATAAAAACTTTAATTTAAGTTTTATGTTGCTAGAACTTTCAAATCAACACAAAAAACAGGGAAAACAGCCTATAACTTCAAAAAATTATAAATAAATCAAATGATTAATTTTAAAAAGGTTAAATATATTTTTATTCCTCTAAATATTTTGAAATGTTAATTCTACTTCTTATAAAAAAATTAATCCATTTTTAATCTATGCATTTATCTAAAAACATCAAAAGTGATGAACGACTAAAACTATATCACTTTTTAATAAATGTAATGACTAAAAACGTATTAAACTTTTATAGGGATTAAAACTAACATTCTAAAATATTTTGAGGAATAAAAATAAATATATTTTATCCATTTAAAATTAATATTTAAAAAATATTAACAATAAACCTTCTAATATATTCTTTTAAACACACACTTCACCATTGATTTAAATATATTATAAATATTGTGAATATCACCTTTTATTTAACGAACTTTTGTCTTAATTTTATAATTTTTAATAAATTTCAATCAATATATAACACATAATGTTATGAAGAGTGTACACTCATCTAAGTCATCTTAAAAATAATAATAATAATAATAATAATAATAATAATAATAATAATTAAGAGACCATTTTCAAGAGCATATACTTAATTTCATCCATATTTGCAGTACAAGTGTTCTTATAAAGATCGATCTGGAAACTATTTATTGAAGTTATTTTTTTTTAAATGTAGTAATGAACAATTCTCTTTAAAGAATTAACTTCAAGAAGAGACTTTGTTTCTCAGAATGATCAATTTCTATTTTACTTCAAGAGTTTGCTAAGTAGTTGTGATATTAAGGTCAATAAATTTCACTAGTCCTATATATATACTGTGATAAAGAAAGCGTTGTGAACAATTAGCAATTTTATTAAAAAAATTGTAAACAACAGTGATAAAGAAAACAATAAACAAAACCTAAAAATATGCGAATTTAAATTGCTAGAAAGATAAATTTTATTGATTGTTCGAGAATCTTGTTTAAGACAATTAATTTAAATTTATAACTATTGGGATTTAATCATGTCACTTAAAACAATGTCCATTATCCTAAGGTATAGGAGACGATGGAACAATTGTCATATTCATGTGTTCACTTTTTATTGTGTTTAGAGTCTTTAGACCATAATTGTTAAAATTGGATCGAATTGGCCAATTCGACATACGGAACAGACACAATGATTAGTCTGACAATTCTTGTGTGTCTTGAAATCAATATGAACTAGTCAAACTAGCAAAAATCAATCAAGAATTAGGTTGAACCAGTCTTATTAAAAAATATTAGAAAAGGTTATTTAAATTTATTTAAAATATTTTATGATAAATAAAAAAATATAAATTATAATTAATTATTTTATTTATACTTTTAATAAATTTCTTTTAAATATATAATTTAGCCATTTAGTTTAATTCAAAAATTTTATTTCATAATATTTTAGATTTTATATTATATTAATTTGACATTTTTCTATTTTAAATATAAAATTATTATTATTAATATATATTACATTTAGACTTTTACATGCACTATAAATATTTAAAATATATAAAATGGTATTTTATTTTAATTTTATTAGTATTAGAAATTATGATATTAATTTATATAATTATTATTTTGTGTATTATTTAATTATCATTATTCACTCAGGCACTATGCTCTTGTGTCATTAAAAATGTATTTCTCTCATTTATGTAAACTTTTTGGGATTATTTTTATATTTTCTCTATTTTAGATTTTGAAAGGAAAAATAAAATATGCAAATTTATATAAGAGAGACTGTAAACTCATATAAAAGATAAGAGGTTATGCATTTCTATTCTATTTTTTCTTTCTCTTTTAATTGTAACAACGTTTCTTTATAATTATCAAATGCTTTTTTTAATAACATGATTATATAAATTAATATTTATAATTAAAATATTCAATACAAATTTTAATTTCATCGTAATTCTTTTTCGTGTTTGATATCCTATATATATATATATATATATTTTGTAGCTTTGTTCCACTCCACAGTTTTACTATTATATATCATGAAATTTTTATTTTTGCAATTACTCTTTTCTGGAGGAACTACGAAATAAAAATATTCACAATGAGATTAACTCTCTTACCAATAATTGTTTTTCATACGCAAAATTTGAAATCAATAATTGTTTAATAAAAAATAAGCATGTATTATTACCTGAACCGCCAATCCATTGATTTTAAATTTTAATCTTTATTTTAATTTCTATTTTTTTAGTAAACGTCAATTTAATTAGGTGGTGAATTTTATTTATCAAATATTGAAGAGAATGAAGGGGTATTTTCGCTATAAAGAAAAATATCAATACATTCATTGGAAAATTGTATTTAAAAAATTGAAAATTTTCAGAAAATATTGTATAATTCTTTCAAGAATATTTTAAATATATATAATAAAATTTAAAATTAATTATAATATTTATTATTAATTTTTCAATCAATAATTATTGTTGCACTTTATTTTTTAAAGTGCAATCTCCTTACCTTAGAAGAGATAAATTCAATTTTTTCATGTGATTAAGAGTTCAAGTATTCTTTTCAAAATTAAAATGTCATTAGTATGATTATTATAATATTAATTATTATTTGAATGCAAATTACATTAATAGATTATTAATGACTCTTTTAAACTTAGATATATTATTTTAAAAATCACTAATAGATTTAAATTAATTTAAATATATAGGCTATTCCACATTAAAGAGTGATGACCTGATGATGAAATTAAATTTTTATTGAATATTTTAATAAAAAAAGCTATTAAATTTTAACAATGTTATTCTCCTAATTTTTTAGATATATGTTTTTTTTAATGTATGATTTACAAAATATTTTAATTTGTGTTAATTTTTTAACAAATTTTAGTTTGCAAATGATTTTTATAATTAATATAAATTTAAAAATATAAGTTTTATATGTATAAATTCAAAAAAAATTTACAATTATTTTTTTTATCAAATTTTACTTGTGAGGACTCTATTTTTTTTTTCATTTCCATTTTTTTCATTTCCCATTTTCACCCTTACTCATTTTTCAGCCTCACTCACTCTTCCTTACACAACTCATTTTCTCTCCAAACTCTCACTTCTCCTTTTCTCTCTTTTGCTTGTGGCGATTCTTGGCAGCTGAAGGTGCATAGGGGGGGTGAACTGATTCCTCAAGCTGATTTCTTCTCCGTTCACTTCCAAGCTTCTCTTCTCCTTCATTCTTTTCTTCCCAAAGCTCGGAATCTTCACCCGAGGTAAGGGAAGCTAGTAAATTTGGCTGTTTTCGACTCAGAATGGGTCTTAGGTACTTCTATATTGCTTGTTGTTGGATAATTTCTGGCAGAGAAGGGTTCAAATGAAATTTTGGGGTTTTCGAAACTTTGAGGAAAATTTGGGGTTTTTGAAGATTTGTGGTTGCATGTTGAAAATGAACTGTTTTTATTGATGTTTGATGAAAATTGGAGATATTGAATGGTTTGCATGTTGGATTTCTGTTGAGTTATGCAGATTTTGGTTTAATTTTTCGAAAATGAAGTGTTGCTGCTGAGCTTCGCACTAAGCGCTGTTCATCGCGCTGGGCGCGTGGTCACCAGGGGACCCCATTTGGCCAAGCTCGCTGGGCGCAATGATGAGTGCGATGGGCGCGCTTGAGAATGTGGGTCTCTGGTTGGCCCGCACTGAGCGTGACTTGGACCGCGCTGGGCACGATACTCGTTGGAACTTGCTTTTGGTTTCTTGAGGTTGCGCTGAGCGCGGCCCTTGTCGCGCTGGGCGTGGGACTCCTTGGGAGTCTCTGCCTTGTGGGCGCTGGGCGCAATTCCGAATCGCGCTGGGTGCGAGACCAAGGGGTGGTCCCTGCCTTCCCCGCGCTGAGAGCTGGGTTAGGTACGCCGGGCGCGGGAGACTCCTTTGAGTCTCTGCCTGGTCAGCGCTGGGCGCAATGGCCATTGCGCCAAGCGCGAGAGAGCCTTGGGTTCTCTGGCTGAGTCCCGCCGGGCGCGGGCACACCTGCGCTGGGCGCGCTGACCCCCCCTGGTGCTCTCTGGTTGCGTTGCGCTGGGCACAACCACGTGTGCGCCGGGCGCGGAGATGAGATTGTTGTGTATGATGTTTTATGTTGAGTTGAATTGAAATGAAAGGTTATGAAATGATGTCTAGTAGATAATGTTGTTGTTGATATTGAATTGTATCTGGTGAATGTGTTGAGAAGTGGTGTTGTGTTGTAGATGATATGTTGAACTGTGAAGCTGATGTGTTGAGTTGTATAGTTGTGCAGTGTTATGTGATGACTGAATTGTTGTAGGCCCAAAGGGCTGAGTTGTTGTAGGCCCAAAGGGCTGAGTTGTTGTAGGCCTAAACGGCTGAGTTGTTGTAGGAGATCTCCGAGTTGATATGCGTGACGACGCATTGCATGCTTATTGATGATCATGTTGAGAACCGATGGGATGTATGTTGATGAAGTGTTGATAGTTGTAGTTTTTTTTATTTCCTAAATCTTTCTATATGTTGTTCCTTTTTATGCTAGCTTACCCTTTGTATTTTCATGTGGTTGGACTGCTATGATCGTACTATGTACGGGAGCAGAGCAGGGATAGGTGGTGGATAGTGGTGAGTCGATAGCTGATAGATGGAGCTGACTTCTATGGATGCTTTGTCTGTTTTGGTCACTTGGCATAGTGACTTTTGATGTAATTTTTGTATTGCATGCCCTAACTCTAGTCGGACTCGAGACATATGTATATA